GAGAATTTTCATATGGCATAGTACTAACAGATCATAAATTTCACTTCTGAGCTAACACTTCTTTTTGATCTGGTGGCTAGCAGAACACCCTGGAAAACTGTCAGTGTAAAAGTCTGTCTATTCTTGTATTCCTCCCCAGGTATCCCTTTCTGACCACCATGATACACAACGTTCATTTAAGAACTGTTCTTATTTGCCATAAACACATTTATCAAGCAAAATAAAGACCGGAAAGCGTAAGCAGATATACAAAGCCTACCTTGGAACTGCATCCACAGAGGATGAAGCTGGAACCTTGGGCACCTGACAATTTGTTGCTGCAGCCAGCTTTAAGGCAGATGATGGAACAGCACTTAAAGTCCTAGGTATATGTCGTGCATTGAGCGTGGTAATGGAGTTTACAGTGGCAACTGATGAGGGTACAGTTAATCGAATGTTGTTCCCAATCAGAACCTGAGTTGTTGCAGAATTGGCAGCAGTTACTTGGTGACTCAGTGCACTGTGGGAACTTGAAGTCTGCGTTACATTTGAAGGCTGTAACAAGGCTGAACCTGCTGTTGATGATGAACTTGTATGGACAAGTGCTGTAGGTGTAGTACTACTGAGGTGTAAGCCCTTGTACACTCCTGCAAAAGAAAAAAAAACAACAACAAAACAAACAAACAGTAAGCTCATTTTTCAGAAAATACTCAGAGAGACATACCTCCACCATAAAAATCAAGATGCAATCAAATTCCATCAAACGGCTGCATACCTGAGGCTTGAAGAATGCCATTCACCCCAATTCCAAGCACCACATCATCCTTCATTTTGAATCCCATCAGTTGTTCTGATGTAACCAAAGCTGAAGCAGCAAATTGAGCACTAACAGAATCCAGTGTCTTGGAAACAAAACCCTAAAAAGAACAACGGTGGCATATATATGTGATCGAGGCTTCCAAAAGTCAGTACTCTCCACATTTTAAAAGCTACACACAAACTAGTAATACAAAAATCAATACATGTAAATCAGAACTGTGGCCCACTCATTTTCTAGACCAAATTCTCAGCATTTGGTACAACCAGTTAAAATTTGAACCGTGATTTTTTTTCCATGCACTTTTTGCTCCATTATAACAATGGAGAAGAAAAATCCCCACAACTATTTAAAAATGCAAAGAAACTTATTTCCAAAGTTGTATGGAACAACATTGTTTCACAGGTCAGCTTGTTTTCATGAAATTCCAAACCCAGTTCAGAGACTCAGAAGTTCAGATTGCTAACAACCTCTGAACCCGTTTATCTGTCTGTCACCACAGTAATCAGCACACACCTATGAATATTACACTTCCACAGCTGTATGGAGGACATATTTAGGAGTTAGCTTTAGTTATTAACTAAAAATCCTGCTCTAAAAATGCCCCACTATCAAGAGGATAATGACATGGCTGGAGATTTCTACAATTCATATTTCTAAGGCTTTGAAAATTTCATTAATTGACTGACCCATCTTTTTTGTGTTAAGAGGGAGCAGAGGCAATGCCTGCCACACTCACCTGCAGTGTCCCTTCTAAACACTTTACAGAATGGCTATGATGTAGATTCAGGCGAAAGCCACTTTCCTGTTGGTTAGTTTCAAGGTTCTATGGCAACAGTTGACAATTAGAGATGAACCCTGGTGGGAAACAATGAGGGATAAATCATAGCACAGACAAATCCCTCACCTGTGACGTGCTGGCAGAGGAATTACTATTTGCTTGCTGTTGATGAATTTGTGCAAGCTGCTGTTTCTGCATTAGTGCCAGTTGCTGTTGATGCTGCTGGTATTGTTCGGCTGTAAATGCTGAACAAAATATAAAATGAGAAAATACTATATCAAAATACATAGGTGTTGTGTATATAAACACATCTATTTTATAATCCTAAAAAAAATATATAGTAATACACCACAGCAAGTTCCTAAGAGCCTTAATGCACCTTTATGGCAAAAAGGCTATCATCCTCCTAGAAATTTTTGTTCAAATTAAGCCTTCCCTTTTTAAGTTGTTTTTTGGTATAGAGGGTTTAACTGCTCTGCTGCATTTAGCTCAAGATACCAATCAAAATCACCAAAAACACTCTAATAACTGATTACAAAGAAATTACAGGTAGAAATGGCATCGCTGTTTTCACTTTGTGAAACTACAATATCTCATTACTAGTAAAGTAGGTTTCTATGCAAAACTTGGGCACTGCATTCTTTCAGCCCTCACAGATAGCATTTTGAATGTAGCAAGTACCTACAATTAAGATTTAAGTTGAAGTTTAGTTGAAAACATTAAATTGGGCATGCTTACAACTGTGCAGGCTATCCCAGTACAGTACTTTTGTTGTTTTTAATCACATGTACAAGCAACTCCATCAAGACAGACTCTGATAGAACTACATCCTTCTCTAAAATCTTTGAAAGGTGACTCAGTAGTCAGTGCATCACAAGTCAACTAGAATTTTATGCAGCTAGCCCACAAGTCTAAAATCAATAAAGAACAGTGATATTTGTACAGATTAACAAGGGAATGCCCAATGGTGCAGAGGTGGGGAGTCATTAGTTCATTTATTAACTTTGTGAAATGTTAGGATTTCTGGTTTTTTAAATTGCATTTCCAAAATGAAAGGAACTCAGTTTTCAATTTAAAACTGATTCAAGCCTGGAATGTGAATCCTGTTGCAAATTCAGCCTAGGATACGCCTTTCAGATCCTTCCTTCAATTTTATCTTCGGATTGTACAGATGATCCGAAATAAATGCTCTAAACTGCATTCACATTTCTAGAATGCAGTGGAAGCTGCACTTTTGGGGAAGTTCACTACCGTTTAGCAACAAATCAACACCACACTTGAATCCTGTTCACAAATAGCAATTTTAAAAATTTTTTTGTGAATCTACTCCTTCAGGCTTGCTTGCTTGAAGAAAACCTGTTTCTATCAAAACTATAATCACCTCCTGATTCTGGATACAACAGGATTCCGAAGAGCAATTGTACCTTATGTATAAACTTGTATAACAAGTCAATACAAATGGCCAACCAAAATAAGGATTAATATTTGGAAACAAACAGAGCAAACACTGCTGAGCATGCATTTTTCCAGTGTATTTGTGATTGGGGATGGGGGGCGTAAATTATTGTTCCAAATCCTTTTATTATGTACTGGAAATAGCACTAAATTATTACCAGCACTTTGCTATCTGAGCACTTGAAGCTATAAATTTTTATTCTTAGTAACACCATTCATAAATGCCCTTACTTTAAAAAAAAAAACAAAAACCAAACAAAAAAAAAAACCCCACAGACTAGAATTCACAGACTAAATATTCAGGAGTTGGCTGTTTAAAATTTAATTCTACTTTACATAAACTAGAAGCCCTTTACATTTTTTTAAACTGTCACCAAACACAGAAGTTAGAGCACAAAAGCTTTAGCACACGAAGATTAGCATGTATAAAGCTGAGTAGCAGAGAGAAAAATGGATGTCCTGTGCCAGTACTGACAAGGTGTTTCACTTATACTGACCAGTTAGTAGTGACTTATTACTGTTTTTTAAAAATCGTGAAATTTAGAAGCAGTATCGTTTAGCCAACTTAGTGCCAATGATATTGAAGGTTCCATGTACTAGTAAGGTTTTTTCATTCTACAGTATGACACTGTAAATATACTGCTTAGGAACAGGCTGCGTAAGTGATGTAAATAAAGATGACTTGCAGACTGACAAAGAGGTAAAGGGGCAAACAAAGGATATGTTATACTGCCATCTTTGGCTGAATTAAGATTTCCACCATCATAACCATCTCCCTTTTGTCGACCAGAGTAAGCAAAATTTATTGATAGTTAGTTTCAGACTTCAAGCCTTAAATGTATTTTAGATTTTACCTCTGGAGTTGCAGCAAGAACAGTCACCTATGTTGGTTTTACCAACTCCAAAATATTGTTTTCTTTTCGAAAAACAGTAAATAAACTTTGCTGAGACAAGCTGTGTTTGTTTAGGACAGCCATTATTTAAGATAGCCTTAAGTGCTCCCCCTTCTTTCTGGAAGCAAAATTTAGAAGAACTACATTTTTCTAATTGTGCATCAGTGTATTTCTTTTTAAGTCCTCTGTGAACCTCGAAGCTCAAAGTTTCCACCACTATGAAAACAGTCATAGGGCTGTCAAAGTAAACAAGTGACAGAACCACCCCACTATGGCCACCACCCTCATCTATATTCGAACTGCTTCTCTTACTTCTGCTCAAACATCCAAACACACTTACAAACACCACCTTGAAAATGCAGTGGAAATGGCTATTTATCTGTCATATCTGAGAATACCCTGAAGAAAACTTATTTCAAGTTTTTCAATTTAGGTTAAAACATTCCGCAACATTTTTGCTGCTTCCCTTATTAAAGGTAAAAGCCTACCACACATTTCAAAATACTATTTACAACACTATCAGAGATTCTGAACTGATCAATTGCATTCAGTTTAGAAACACAAGACTGCCCATAAAGGACCGCTGAAAGCTACAGCCTCCTAAACTAATCTGACTGATACTCCTTTTTCATTCCACAGCATAGCCAGATATGCTCATGGACCAGAAGAGGTTACAGATTGTTATTATACATAAGCTAGCTCTTCTCTCTCCATGCGAAAGAAGCACTACATTGAAGGTTTTATTGAAAACATTACTACTACTGAGAACTATCCAAACCAAAATTAATCATTAATTCTTTTGAAGACCTGCAAACTAGGACAGCACACTTTATTCCTCATCTGTTAAAAGCCACCATGTATTTTGCTCACTGTCACTACGTTTCTTCCCCTCCTGCTCCCAGAGTACAGTCTATATTACACTTCCAATTAAAAAAAATAAGCCTATAGATCGTGAGATGTAGGTTGTTTCTGAAAACTATCATTCCATGCACAAAAAATGTCTGTATGTACTTTCCATCAAAGTAGTTCCACAGTTGTAGCTGTGGCACACAACTGACTAGAATCGGGAAGGCTTTCTGGGGCAATCACTTGTATGCTCAGCACAGTGCAGTCACAGGTGTACTGACTGTCTGTGCCTCTATATCTGCAGGCACAGCCCTAAACTTCTCAAAGAGCTAGTCTAAGTTCCACTGTCTTTTTTTAAAAAGCAATTCAAGTAGAATGCCTTGCAGACCATAAATAAGTAGCCGCTATTAATGGGTTAATTACATATGGCTTGCAGAGAGTATTTTTTCCTTGCCTGCAAAGCTAGCATACATGCAATTGCACAGGTGCCAAACTTAGTATCTTGTTAACGTCACTTTCTCTAGAAAAACCGTAACAGTGTCCTCAAGAACTTTCTTTCAGAAATTTTATTACCTATTCTCATCTTTATTCTAAAGAAGAAAAAGAGCACAGCTGAAACTCTTTCATCTGCCTCAGAGAAAAATGGTAAAAGTAGCAAAAATGAATGTAATTTTCTTCTGTGTCATACACTGGTCTTTACCTGCCTGGGAAAAAACAGCAAACAAGAAGCAAGCCCAGACCTTTTCTATACACTTAAATCAGCAACCATGTGTCTAACTCAGAAGAGTATTGCTACACAAAGCTACACAAAGTTACATATTCCTGATACTAGTGGAGACCTTGGAGGCTCTAAAAAAAATTAGTAAAGCAACAGACACCTGAACAACAGCTTCAGGTTAAAAAAAGGGACAAAACCTAACATTCAGTGGTTAAAGATGACACATTAGATTTTTAAACAGATTCTTGCCTCGGCAGCCCTAGACAGAAGCGCAGTGTTTACAGACTCTTCTCAAAAAGCATGCTAGTGACACAGAGGTTCTGGTTCCATGACAAGGTAATGACTATTTAATACTGCAGAATTTACTCAATTAGACAGTGACAAAACATCCAGTTTCATTCTCTACACAGAATCTAGTGAGGGGTGGAGGTGGGAATATCTCAACTACCACTACCGATACACTATAAATAAGAACATTCTCATTTCAGAATACCTCAACTGTTTTTTCATAGCTAACAACTGTACTTTTTCCCAAATGTCTACATACTATCCAAGACACTTTCAGTAATTTACGGGTGTCACCTGACTCCTTAAGTTAACCCAACCCAACTCCTTCCCTAACCTTCAACACTGGGAACCTTTCAGACACAACCCTACCTGGAGTCACCCACATCTCCAGATGGATGGCTGTCAGGAGATGGGTAGCTCCAGTTTTACTGAGAGCCTAGGCTACGTAAACGCTTCTTACTCGTTTGTTCACAGCATACTGTTTTGAATTGGAACAATTAAAACTCAGTACACTTCCGAATTGTTTCTGGTGGAATCCCAAATCAAGTCATAACCTTCCAGTTGAGACAACCTTCAGGATTTTAAGTTAGTACACCGTGTTACGCTGTTATCCTCTTCATGGAAGAGCTTGGGACAATGCACACACCTATTCTGCAACCGTATTAGTGCTATACCTTGGCAGCAAGTAACAGAAATGTTTTCTGGCTTACAGAAAGCAAAAAGGACTCGAAGGTAGAAGAAAAAGCTTCAGGAGTTTGCAGCTATGAATACAAGGAAAGAAACATTGTACGTTACTGAGACTGACTGACAGGATAAATGACTGCTTAGTATCTCCTTAGCGACAGCCACAACTCTTGTGCAGTAATTCAGTTTTTTAACACCACACTACATTATGAATGTTTCCCCACAATCATTTACATGACTATAAGCAAGTTGTTTGTAATCTTTGGAATAATTACACAAATTTTTTCCTCAAATTAAGCCACTGAATAGTATCTTTCAACTGGATGATTCTGTTTACAGATCTACCAAGTTCTGTGGGATG